ATCTCAAAAGGCTTATTCAGAATGCACAAAAGACTTTCAAGATCGATTTTCGAAGGGCTTCTGATATGCATCCTATGGAAATTGTCGAAGCTATTGACAAACTTCAAGAGAGGCTGAAGGTTGTTCCTGGTGAAGATCCTCTAAGTGTGGAGGCTCAGAAGAACGCTACCCTTTTCTTCAATATATTGCTCCGAAGCACCTTTGCTAGCAAAAGAGTTTTGGATGAATACAGGCTTACGCGTGAAGCATTCGAGTGGGTTATTGGAGAAATAGAATCACGCTTCCTTCAGTCACTCGTTGCACCTGGTGAAATGATTGGCTGTGTTGCTGCACAATCCATTGGAGAGCCTGCAACTCAGATGACTCTTAATACCTTCCATTATGCTGGTGTGAGTGCCAAGAATGTCACTCTTGGTGTTCCCAGGTTGAGGGAAATCATTAATGTAGCCAAGAGAATCAAAACACCTTCTCTTTCAGTCTATCTAAAACCCGAAGCTAATAAAACTAAGGAGAGAGCTAAGACCGTTCAATGTGCTTTGGAATATACTACTCTTAGGAGCGTTACGCAAGCTACCGAAGTATGGTATGATCCTGACCCCATGAGCACCATTATTGATGAGGATATCGATTTTGTGAAATCCTACTATGAGATGCCAGATGAAGAAATTGCCCCAGAGAAAATCTCCCCATGGTTGCTTCGTGTAGAGTTGAATCGTGAAATGATGGTGGATAAGAAACTTAGCATGGCAAACATTGCCGAGAAGATCAACCTTGAATTTGATGATGATTTGACTTGCATATTTAATGATGATAATGCAGAGAAGCTGATACTTCGTATCCGTATCATGAATGATGAAGCCCCAAAGGGAGAGTTGACTGATGAATCAGCAGAAGATGATGTGTTCTTGAAAAAAATTGAGAGCAATATGCTAACAGAAATGGCTCTTCGAGGAATACCCGACATCAACAAGGTTTTCATTAAATGTGGTAAAGTGAACAAGTTTGATGAGTCTGAAGGTTTTAAGCCGGAGATGGAGTGGATGTTGGATACAGAAGGTGTCAATCTCTTAGCTGTTATATGTCATGAAGATGTCGATGCGAGGAGAACCACAAGCAACCATTTGATTGAAGTTATTGAAGTTCTTGGGATTGAAGCAGTTCGACGTTCTCTCCTAGATGAATTGCGTGTTGTTATATCCTTCGATGGATCTTATGTTAATTACCGACATCTTGCCATCCTTTGTGACACCATGACTTATCGTGGCCACTTGATGGCTATTACTCGTCATGGTATTAATCGAAATGATACTGGACCAATGATGAGATGCTCATTTGAAGAAACTGTGGATATCTTACTTGATGCTGCGGTATATGCCGAAACTGATCACTTGAGGGGTGTTACTGAAAATATAATGTTGGGTCAACTGGCCCCCATAGGAACAGGAGGTTGTTCTCTGTATCTCAACGATGAGATGTTGAAGAATGCTATTGAACTGCAGTTGCCTAGTTACATCGACGGTCTAGATTTTGGCATGACACCTTCCCGTTCTCCGATCTCAGGAACTCCTTATCATGAAGGGATGATGTCTCCTAGTTATTTGTTGAGCCCAAATCTCCGCCTTTCACCTATTAGTGATGCTCAATTTTCACCTTATGTAGGAGGAATGGCTTTCTCTCCTACTTCATCTCCAGGCTATAGCCCATCATCTCCGGGCTACAGTCCATCGTCCCCTGGCTATAGTCCCACATCCCCTGGCTATAGTCCCACTTCTCCAGGATACAGCCCTACCTCTCCGGGCTACAGTCCAACATCTCCAACCTACAGTCCTAGTTCTCCGGGTTATAGTCCAACTAGTCCTGCATATTCCCCTACTAGTCCATCTTATTCCCCCACGTCTCCCAGTTACAGTCCCACCTCTCCAAGTTACAGCCCCACCTCTCCTAGTTACAGCCCCACATCACCAAGCTACAGCCCCACTTCCCCCAGCTACAGCCCCACTTCGCCTGCTTACAGTCCCACTTCGCCTGCTTACAGCCCCACTTCTCCTGCCTACAGCCCAACTTCCCCGTCTTACAGTCCAACTTCGCCCTCCTACAGCCCTACATCGCCTTCTTATAGTCCCACATCACCCTCTTACAGCCCAACATCGCCTTCTTATAGTCCCACTTCACCTTCGTACAGCCCCACCTCTCCAGCATATAGCCCCACCTCCCCTGGCTATAGTCCCACATCACCGAGCTATAGTCCTACTTCTCCTAGCTATAGTCCCACATCACCTAGTTATAATCCTCAATCAGCTAAATACAGCCCATCACAGGCATACTCACCCAGTAGTCCGCGTATGTCTCCTTCAAGTCCGTATAGCCCAACCTCACCAAACTACAGGTAGTGGATTATTAAAGTATTTTTGGTATAATTATCTTGGGTACCGTTCAAGTGCCTGAATGTGAAACTCCCTTACATTTATGCTTTTGTTTTTTCGGTTTGTTTCTGAATGCCTCGAATCTAACAAGTTCGGTCATCTTGTCTTAACCTTTCAGCCCAACATCACCATCATATTCACCTACTTCTCCAGCATATTCTCCATCAAGTCCAACCTACAGTCCTAGCAGGTAAATTTTTATTACCCCTTTTCTAGAGGGCTCTCTGTAACATCTATTCTTCTGATACACGTTTTTGCATTTGCATTTCCTTAACCCATTGTTTGCCCTTCTCTCTTCAGTCCGTACAATACAGGACCCAGCCCAGACTACAGCCTCAGTTCTCCACAATACAGGTTAGCTGAGATACTGAACTTACTAGTGGAACCATTTACATCTTTTTCTCCTAGTGAGAATCTGATTGTTTATTCTCCTTGCAGTCCAAGTGCAGGATACTCACCTACTGCTCCTGGTTATTCTCCATCATCTAATAGTCAGTACACTCCACAAACAAGCGAAAAGGATGATAGGAGCAATCGATGATGAGGGTTCATAGCAAATATTCTTGAAGGGAAAAGGTAAAGTTCGGGAAGCCCTGATCTCTCTGATGATAAAAATGTGGCTGTTTTAATTTCTTGAATAATTGATCTTCAGGATGTTTTATATGGATTTCTCTTCTCTGATGCCTGCGCCATCATTTCTGAATCTGGACTCGGAAAGGGGTGTTGTATCTTAGTAGCTATTTCGTCAAAAAGATTGGCCGAGTTCATACTGTTTTAGTAGGGTTGAATTATCCTACTAGGAAGCCTCTTTTTTGAGGACGAGTGTTAATTTGAAGGAAGTAGGTTTATATAGTCAGAAAGAAATAGAAGGAAGAATACTAATGTCGACAAAATCAGAGGAGATGAATTTTGGTTTCCATACGACTCGGCTGGCGTTTTATATATATAATTGATGACGAGACAGCATAACACAGTGTAATGTAGTTATTTTTGTTCTTGTTGTGGTTCTTGAAACGCCCCCTCATGATCTGAAAAATCTCCAAGATTCTCTTATAGTTTTTCTAAACTTCATTGCAAGTCATAGCAACCTTTTGTATGTGATTTAAATGAGTGCTATTCTTTGTGATTTCTTCCTTCAGTGTAAAATGGAACTGATTGTGTAGGTAGTTTGTAAATGTCAGGTCTTCAAGTCTCCTCCAGAACGGGAAGAGGCAAATAAACGACCGAACACACCGCGGCATGTTGCTCGGAATGGACACATTATATCATCTAGCCTTTCGCAAGCTTGTTTATTTTTTGCTTTGAAGAAGTTGTGAAAGTATTACAAGCAAAAATTGATTCCCTTACAATTAGCGTCACACTTTCCATGTAGTTTTGTACCTTCCCATATAGAAAGTCATTATTTGAAGATACCTGTAACTTGTGTGATGAAGCTGAAACTCTTCTAAAAGTTATTCCCCCTTTTAGGCTAAATTGTAATGTATCTTTACAAGTTTAAATACTATTCTAGTCCCCTTCCATTCTCTAATGCTAGTGGATTTTGAACAATTTTTAAATAATGATCTTCATGCTTGGATCTTTTGTTCATTTTAGTTCTTGAGTTTGATCATTTAGCCTGATATGCAATTCCATGCATTCCATAACACCTCACGATCGCACTCCACACGATAACGTTTTTGTCATTGTTTCGGTTGAAAACATCTCTTGCAATGTTCACACAACATCTGAGTCGAAAATCGATGAACAAGTTTCCTCTTGTCACTGTTCTTCATTGCGCCATAGCCGCCTTCAACACAAAGAAATGTGTAGCAATGGGTGGGTGTGACACAGGTTGAGGGCGCAAACGAACCCAAACTCGCACACCCTTGAATAACTGTGTTCCACACGAACACGTCTCTTTGAAGCATTCTATCGAACATCTTCCGTGCAATTCCCACTTTCAATTCACCATGACCCAATAACTTCGTATAATCGTATGAATCGCGATGATACTCGCCGGAACATAGACCTTAGCAATCTGAAGTACGGTTTTGTCGACACCGGAGCTCGCCAAGATCGCCGGCAGAGCTCATTCATTTGAATCTTCAAGCCAAAAACTTGAAAGGGAAATCTCCATGGAAAAAGGTTAGTGTTGTTGCGGCGGCGGACAAACGCCGATCGTTTTCCCGGTACCGGACGACGTGGCCATTTGTGGATATGGTGATGCTGATGTGTTGATAGTGACAGATACCTTCTGAATACATATTTTAAATATTCTCTTTTATTAAAAAAATAGAATTAAAAATAAACAAAGGTCCACCATAGATATTTTCTAAAAAATAATTTATTTTTAATTTAAATTAATAAAAATATTTTTAAATTTCCATTTGTCTTAAAATTACTCTCTTACCTTTATAATTAAAACAAATAAAAAAAGATTTTTTTTAATTAATTTTTTTTTTTTTTTATTGAACAAGATGCAAAAAAAAAAATTGGACTAAAATTAGAGGGTTTAATGCGGATTAATAGGTGTATTATATTAAAAGTTTTGAAATTCAACTTAAAAAGTGACCACTTTTAAAAGTTTGATGGAGCCCATAATTGAATCTCCAAAAGCAAACAAGATTATCTCTGAAAAAAATTTGGATTATGGGAATTTGAAGCGTTGATTAATCTATTCTAGACATTGATTATTTCATAAAATTGGTAATCTTGTTCATGTTCCTTTAACGAGGGAGTTTTGATCTTTGTTCTTCATTTCCTCCATTTCTCCTCTCTCTCTCTCAATCGATTCAGCCGATTGAACACAAACTCTCTCTGTAGCAGCGAAAAAGAAGCGGTTTCAGGCCAACCCCACTTCAAAACTCTCCCCCTTTCTCCTTCAATCTCCTTCTTCTTCATCTTCCATCGCCATTTTTCTCTGTAATTCCTCCATTACAATGCTGGGTTTAGCCCCTCACTTCTCTCTTCGTACCCTTTTCCCCGGATCCGCCATAGCCATGGATCATCCCTCTGCTTCTCGCCCTTCCTCTTCCCTTCACTTCTCTGTTCTCCGATCGCGGCCCAATGCGGTTAGCTCTCGCCGACCCAAGTCGATCCTCGTTTCTTGCCACTCTTCTCGTGATAGATCCACCCACAGTGACGATGATTCCCATCAGGATTACTTCGAAGCTTCGTTTCTTGTTTCAGGTTCTTTGATTTTACTTTCTGGGTTTCTTTTCTGAAAATCGCGATGAAATCGATTGTGGGTGTTTATGATTCCTGTATTTGTTTCATAGAGACTATCTATCACTATCGAATGTGGAAGAAGAGGTTTCAAGAGGACGCGAATTTCAATCAGATTGAATCGCGAGTCAATTCCCCTTTACTTGGACTGGGGTTTTTTAGACGTTTTCGAAGCCCTACTGTGTTCCTCAAAATTTCTTGCAATGGTGACTTTCTACTGCCAATTGTCGTAGGTATATTGGATCAAAACTTTGTCGTGATTGTGTTTGTGTTTCTTATGAATTTGGCTGTAAGTTTTGGACTCTGTTTGCAGGGGAATATGCTATTGAGAAACTTATAGATTCTCACCTTGGGATTGAAAATGGGGTTCGTTTTCTTTGGCTTTGTTCTTCATATTTTTTTTTTTTTTTTTTTTTTTTTTTTTTTTTTTTTTTTTTTTTTTT